ACTTCAAATTCTCTCAATTGAAGAATTTCAAATCCTTCCTTCAAAATCCATCTCCAAATCAAATCCTTATATTCAAATGTACACCAATATTCTTTTTCCTTTTAACTTCAAATAATAAAACTTAGTCAATTAATTTATTATATTTAACATAGTTATTTTTACTTTATCTTTTACTACAAATGAATATATGTTAAACCTCACTGAAATGATTTACGCGGTACTAAAATTACGAATATCGTTCATTGTATTCTTACCTTTCTCTCTCTACAAACACCAAACCCACCCAAACCCGCCAAATGCCCCAAAATGATCAAAAACCCTCACCAAATCCGAAATTCTCTCAAATTGAAATGTAATTTCTTATCTAATCTAGTTATATGTGTGTAATTTGTGTTTACTTTGTGGTTAAACATGTGAAAACCCCAAAAATTTGCGATTTTTGGGTTGTTTTCATTGTTGGTGTGTACCATTTCCACGCTCATTTTGGGCGTGGAAATCTGGTTTTGACGACCGTTTTTTTTTTTTTAATTAAGTTTTACTTAAGTAATAAAATAAAAGAAGGCTTAATTCCACTTTGCACCCTTGAAATATACCATTTTGGCACTTTGCACCCTCGAAATAAATTAATAGCACTTTGCACCCTCGAAATACAATAAATCATGCATAATGCACCCCAAATGATTTTTTAAAGCTAAAAAATATAAATTTAATATTTGTAGTGATATTTTTTTAAGTTGCCAAATGTCAAATATTTTTTTTATTCATCAATCATTTTGAAACTATAAAGTTCAAAAATAAAAATACATTCCATCAACATATTTCAAAATTGTATTGTTTTATCAAAATAAAATATTTTACGAAAAAAAATCATTCAGCTATTACGTTATCAAGTTATCTGAAAATTATTTTTTCTTCCAAATATTTTCACCTAATATTTTACAAACAGTGACATAAAAGATCCACAATCGATTAATTTAGTGATAAAGATTTTTTTTTTCTTTTGTAAGATAATGTAGAATCCGGTGTAATTTTTATTTTTTCGCACTTTGTCCGCTCGAAATTAGGTTTGAGGTTCAAGAAAACAATTTTTTTTTTTATTTTGTACCCCAAAAAGAAAAACACCGATGAAAAATAAAATTGCCTTTATTATTCAATTGAGGGTGCATTGTGAATGATTGATTGTGTTTTGAGGGTGCAAAGTGCTATTATTATTTTTCAAGGGTGCAAAGTGCCAAAATGGTATATTTCAAGGGTGCAAAGTGGAATTAAGCCATAAAAGAAAGATATAAGCATTTAATTTGTTGTAGTCTAGCAACAAGATTATAAATCAATTTTTGCCCAACATTCAACAAATGACAATAATTAAATAAGTATTAGAGTATCAAATTTGTTTTAGTCTAGTTGGTTAGGATATTCGGCTTTCGCCCACGTGTCGAAAATTATTATTCGGCGCTTAAATTGGTAATGAGCTACGTTTTTCCAATTTATAGAACAAAGACGAACAAATTTTATCTCATGGGGTTGTGTATCTCAATCCTCATTCAATGTACTAATTTATCTTTGGGTTGTGTATCTCAATCCACATTCAATGTACTATTTTTTCTTTGTAAATCGCTACAATAAGATGGGTTACAGGACAATTTCCGAAAGAAAAAGGTAAAAGTGTGAATTATTTTAAAACCATATTCGTAAAAATGTTACCACGAATATCACCTCCGTAAACCTCATTAACTCGCAACAGCGAAAATCTACAAGACATGTTCAACAAGCTTCAAACAATATTCTATTTTTATAACTGAGTAAGTCATAAAAGAATCAGAAAAGACATCGAACGATTCTCTAATTATAATGAAATAAGAAAGTAGATATTTTTATACAATTCAAAAACTATTTAATACAAAAGGTAGAATAATAATCAATTAAACAAAACAAATAATTAAGCTTCTAAAATCAATATCTGCCGCTATGTCCACCTAACAACATCACGCATCTAACCATTCATGTAACAGTATGGCCATCTATGAAATGCTCTACCTGGTAAAAAAGTATCAAAAAATTTTGCACAATAAATCTACACAAATATCCATTAACTACACGTACATATAGAAGTATGTTTTATATTGTATAGATTAATGCTACAGGGTCATACGGTATATTTCACCGATGGGTAAAAAATATGTGAGAAAATTCTTTAAAATCAACTAAATCTTTTTGAAATTTTTATTTATTTGTACCTTCTCAAATTATAAATCAAAAATAGAAATAGGGAATTAGAGAATTAGGTCATCTCATCAGAATAAGATTCATTTTCATTCGCAACAGCGTCCAAAGGTGTCCTAAGATTAATGAAAATATTCATCACTTGATATTCCCCCCATTCTTCATACAATAAAACACCATAAACAATGACAAAACAAAAATGTATAATTAGAGGGAAAATATATTAACTCAGTGGTGGCAATTATGTAATTGGTTCGATTCTGCCGCAAAGTGTCCTCACAATATTCAGAAGAGGGAGCTTATTATCCTCATCGCAATATATTTTCCCCAAAATTTTCAATAAAAAATCATGAACAAAACAAAAATAATAAAAATATATGTAGGTAGGTAAAAGAGTAAACGCTCAGTTCAGCGGGTTTATCGACACGCAAGTAATCAAAACCTGCAATCCGGTCTGTTGAGCTTGAATTTTTTGAGTCGTCACTGCGATTTACTCATTAATCCCTTTTTTTCTTTCGAAATTAAAAATCATAAGAAAATAAAATTAAAAATGAAGGAAGATTGAAATAAACAATTGAAATATCTATTGAACAAGAAGAGAAGAAGGGTGCTGATACTGAAATATGTTGTGTTTTTGTGCGTTATATAAAGGGTCGATTAGGGTTTGTTTACTCATCCCAGAATGGAGGAGGCTATTATTTACTGGGCCGCCTACTTTGTAATCCAAAGTCCAACTTTTTTTTATGGGTTAATTATAGGTCCTATATTTTCAGAAAATTAGCCAAAACTCCATTCTATTTGTGCCAAATTCTGAATTAAACTGTATCTAAATCAATTATTTTATTGGGGGCAATTTGCTATAGGACCTCTTATAAGAGATTGTATGTGTTAAAATCCATCTAATAAACTCTAATTTCAAGCAGATTTTATTATTTGTAATTTGTCAAAAGTACCCCTATTTTTCTCCCTATTATACTCCAAATCCGAAAATTAGAATTGCAAATCTCTTGATATCGATTTCTTCCCTGTTTCCTCAAAACCAAAATCTCCACAAATTCTGAAGTTTTCCATAGGTTTGGGTGTCTGAGCGTTTGCAATTTACAAGGTCGTTTGCAGTTTGCATTCATTTCGTTTTCCTTCGTTCGATTTGTTGTTTTCCAATTTTGCCTTCGTGTTCTTTGCTATTTAGAAATTGTTTGTTGTTCGGTAACAACTCAGGTTGTAAAAAACGCACCACCGCTACGAACGCCGCGCCACTGCCGCAGGCGCCGTGTCCGCTTATGACTCTGTAAAATGCAAATAGCAAACTAATAATTAAAACTTGCATTATTGAATTAAAACAACAAACTACCTATGAATTCGCCAAATGCTAACAACAATTCGAACAAGTAAAAAAATCAGCATCATCTAATTACAAACAATAAAATGAAAATATGATATGCAATATCTAAATGCAAATAATAAAAATAAAAATACAAAACAAAAATATCATACATATCATAAAAATGCAAAAAACAACAATAAAATTATAAAAATATTTTATCAATGCAAAAATTGCAATTTGCAGTTTGCAACAAAATCTACTGTTATCGGTTGCAATTTGCAGTTTATGTTTAATGCTGCAATTTGATTTTGTTTGTTTCATTCTTTTTGTTTTTTGCAATTTATTGAACCAAAATCAATTAGAAATACAAATATACATTATAAACTCACTACAGATAAATACAAAACGAGAAGAAAAAAAAAAACTCACTTTGTGCAAGCAATAGGAGCGATTTATGTTTGTTGTCCGCTTTTAACTCTTTCACCGAAAAATCATCTAATAATGTAAAGCTCCCATTTTTTTTCCTTCCCTACAACATAATCCAAAAGAATTCGAATTCCAAAGGGAAAAAAATCGAATAGATGTAATCGAGAAAGGGTATAGAATAAGAAAGAAGTTGATTGGAAAAAAAAATCGAAAAGGTGTTGATCGAAAAGAAAAAAAAATCATAAGAAAAAAGCGAGAGACACGAGATGGTTATGTCTATGAACTAATTGTTTTATTTTATTTATATTATTTTTTTGTGACAAAGGACCTATATCTATATTTATCTAGCAACTAGGATCTCTACCTATATAAGTCCAGAATAAGGGGTGTCTAGCCAATTTTCACATTTTGTTGGTGTAGTTATTTTATTAATAGACTATCATGATAGTATAGTTGATTAAACTATCAAAATCGAATACTATACGTCAAAAATAATGAATCGATTACAAAGAAATTTAGTTGTGTATTATTTGAAGAGTTATTTATATGCATTATTAATTTATATATTAGATGGGCCCTATTATAAATTTAGCCAATTATTAATTTAGCACGTTATTCTTGAATTGGAACAAATAAAATTTATTATTTAAGCGAAATTATTAACTTATCATCGAGGTTTTAATTTAAGGTGATAATCAGGGGATCTAATATGAACGGAAGTGTAGTATTGAAACTATTCTTTAAAGTAGAAATTGCAACATGTTTTTGCAGAATACGTTACATATGTAGAAGTTCCAATTCCATACACCAATTTATCTACATGATTCTCACTTTCATAATGGTTTGATGTATTAAAATATAAAAAAGTGTGTTAAAAGTGGCTTGTCAAAATGTAAACAATCACTGCTGGTATGAGTTGTAAAAAGTGGTGTTTTAAAACACTATTTCCGAGTTATAATTTGAGCTGAAGTGATAAATTTTACCACACCTGCCGGAGATAATGAGAATTCACTATACATTATATGAATGCAGCAGATAAGTCCGCACTAATTAGATTCAAATAACAAATGTTATGAAATGAAATATGTACGAATATTCTGAATTAAAAAAAATATATTTACAATGTTGAAAAGATTATTGACCGACAAGTAAATGTTCGAGGTGTTTCGAATGTCCCTTCAAAGGGAAAATCTATAATACATCATCATCCAATTGAGGATACACGGAAGCATCTTCAAGCGGGAGTGAAGGCGGAGTTCCAGGAGGAATACTAGCTTCACCGTTTTCACCAGCACATATACACAGCGCCTCGGCTTCTCTAAGTGTCGCATCGAGGTCAATCTGACCACTCAGTTCATTAATAAACTTTAGGAGTGTGTCAAAATCCATCTGTTCCCCCATTATCTTATTACGGTATCTCTTGAGAATCGCGACGCAGACATAAAGGTGCAGATGCTCACTCAGATAGTGAGTCCACAAAACTTCCCACAAGAGCAATGTCTTGTCGTATTCGAATTCCCTGCACAAACACGAAGCTTTCGTTACATGGAATAAACTGGTCATGTTTCTTTAATCCACAGTCTAAAGGACGAGAATTTTTTCGAGTAAATGAAAAAAATGTAAAAAGGGCAGCAGTTAAACTTGCCTCTTGAACTGTATCAGAATCCAGCGGAAACAAAAGAAATAGTTCAAACAGTCATTCTGCTTAAAGTAGTCGTGTAATGGGAGGTCTAACAACTCCACCAGCTGCATGACATTAAAAATTAATTATTTGCTATGTTGAATGACACCTGTCAGTTTATTTCATAACATGCTACTTGGAAAAGAATATAAACACTAGGAAACCATGCAACGCAAAGTGTGACTAAGATTCGGATAATACCGTAGCACCAACAGACGTAACAAACATGACCTATTTAGAAAGTTAATTTAGAGAAATTCTTAATATGATGATGGGGATGTAAAAAGAAAGCCAGAAAACCATGTCACTAATGATTTCCCAACGAGCACAAAACCCTAAATCATGACAGAAAATGGAAGGACAAACCCTGATCGATGAACCTACAAAATCTTTCAGATTGTATCTGATCAAATCCAGAGGGAAGTTATGCAAAATTCCTCATGTTAAGCCGATATTCTTGTCTATCAGATCAATTTTGTATCCCTCCACAAATCTGGTTCTATCCCCTTTGCAAAGGTAAATGGGAATTGCTTTGACGACTCAGTAAAGAGGCTCATAACATCAATGCAGATGTATGAGTGTGTGCATAAGTACATGAGAGAGAGAGAGAAAAAAAAAGAACCTTCGATAATGCAAAAAGTTGAGAGTGCATTCCACTTTGGTCACGATTAAAGTTAGGTCCAAGACGCTCCATAAGTGAAACAAAGCACCAAAAGGATTTGGATTCATCTCTCATCACATACAAGATCGGGGATAGCAGATCACTCATACCCTGAAGTTAAAAACAAAAAAAACAAATAATGTCTCAAAGTAGGTAGAGTAGTGAGATGCAGTATTAATCCGAAAGTAGACCTTGAGAATACCTGACAATATCCAAGATCAAAGTTGTAAAACGAGTACGTCAACAGTATATCACGTAGGAGATAGACATTAGGATTGTCATCCCCATCATAGAATGATAGCGACCTGTCAGTCCTCACCTTGAAATGGAAATGAAGAAGAATGGTGTTATTTAGTAAAACATACTGTCATCTAATATCTTGATAGAACATCCATGTAGGTCAGAAAATGTGGTAATTGAATGTACCACATCTTTGTCGATAAGGCCTTTTCTCTCTCTGAATTTTGTAAATCTTTTCGCCTGCTCTGGTGAGATACTCTGGATATACACAATTCACATTATATCTAGTAATATATGTCCACTCAATCAAATAAGATGAAATCTTCATTTAACATATCAGCCGAATGAACAAGTTGAAGTTTACATGGAAATAAATTTTAGAAAATAATGCAAACACCTTTAATCAAGTGAACATTTTTTCTACCATAAAATCACTAGGGCCAAAGAGGCGACTAAAGAGGCACGGTGAACTTCCTATATAGCAAAGTTCTTAATGATGTATGGTACATTGCCCTAATTACGGCTGCAATAAAACTTTAATCCAAGCTCTAATCACGAGCAATCTGATCGATAGAACTCGACATAACTGAACTAATCAGATACTTGTTCCACACGGGATTATTCTACCATCCAAACCGAGAGAGAGCCTTCGCAACCTCAATTGATATCGTTGGCCTTAGGAAAAAGATGCTTAACCGATACCGCTAAAGCTCCTGCTTTGGGGTTTCATCCTTAAAACAGCAGTAGTGTTTAACTTGAAATAACAGCCCACATAAAACATCACGTCAAATTTTAGACATAAAAATACTAGCAGTAAAGATGAACGGAAAAAGACGTCATCTCCACTACCAGAAGCCAACTCAAGGTCTTAAAAGCGTGTGTCTAAACTTATTTTAAAGACCTACCTCATACATCTTACAAAATATTTTTTTCACGCTTATAAAGATGTCAGGTATTATTTAAAAAATAAGTATATAAGTCGTGGAAGTGTTTAGATAAAAAGGATAATTGAGTTTTTTCAAACGTAAGTTTATAAACTCAGGACACCCTCTTATTTCCTAATTCTCAACATGAATAGCAGCTTCAATTTTTGGCAAAAATCTGCAGTAGTATCCTAACAACAATGAACTCAGCCGTCTGTGCCTTTAATGAATACATAGTGGAGAGATGGAATAAGGCATCATGACATAAAAAATGAAAATTTAGAATCAATCGTTACAGACTTTGCTATTTTCTTAATCCAAGAGCATAAAAGAACATTAAATATGGATGTTTTTGTCACTTCCTATAAGATAAAGATTAGATTGTGCATATGAGTCTCAGTTAAATATGCAAGAACCTAGTGGCTAATAAAATGTATCATTAGAGAATATATAACTAAGAAAAGGAAATTGTAACCAAAATACATTAGCAAATTCAGAACAAAATCTTTGAATTTTGTTTTTTTGACATAATCAACTTTTACTAATGATATACCTGCCACTGCTTTTTTATTGTATCATACTCTGTTTTCTTTACCGACATGAGATAGTCTCTCTCTGCATACGTTGAATCATATGCGTGATATCCTAATAAGAATGTCCAAACCTGTAAAAGTAATATGATGAATTCATGTTACCAAGAAAGAATAGAATAAGTAAATTCACAAACTTATATCAAATAGATGGAAGCATGAAACAAGAATCATCTTCCAATGCACAACCTCTTTCCGCAAATTGTGCTCTAGTCCCCCATAGAAGATTCTCTTTATTAACGCTTTTGAATCCATTACTCGTCCTTCTGCATCCAAGAAGGTGGCCCACTGCAAGTAAAATATCATTTCAGATAGCATATAAACTAAGCAGTACAAGCAATTACATTAACTTTTAATACAATTTATTCACGTCAAAAGCATTAGATGCTGGATGTGACAAGTCAGTTAGGGGAAGAAAATGAACACTCAACATATTTTTAATATAGAAATTACATAGGAATCAGACATGCTGCTATTCTATCAGAGCAAAAACAAATTGGCATGGGTTATGACCTTCTCCGGCTGTTATTTTTATTTTGTTTTCTTAAAGAAGTTAAATTGCACTTTTTTTAGAAATTGAAAGTATGTTAATTGTCTCCCATTCTTGTGTACCACAATCTTTAATTTCTTCCCAATATTGCATCTTATGCTTCTTGAAGTTCGTTTAATGCTTAGATAAATGAATAGAATTAGGCAAATTATGTTGCTCTAATAAGAAGAAAACGCCAAGTTGGTCATACCTCATGCTACTGAAACAATAGAAAATTATTACTTCAGGCACTTTTCATTTATAATCATAGATAGAATAAACTATCCACAACACCCACTGCAAAACCAAAGAATCATGTAACCCACTAATTGGCATTTGCCAGTATTAGTTCTTTTTCCTATTAAAACTCTAATACGTAAAAGACCAGTTAATTTTTGGCATGTAGACGGAGAAAAATCTTATGAGTTATTAATGTAGTTCTTATGGAATGATACCTTTACATGAGCATTCACACCAATTAAAGTAGTGTCTCAACTTTTCAAAAATGTCAATAAAAATAACAACTGAAGACTGGAGAGAACAGAGGTAAAGTTTTATATTAAAAAGTATAATATTTTGATCTTCACCAGTCTGGAAAAAGGGCTTACATACCTCTTGCTGCCCTAAGGGCGACTGACGCGGTTTTCCCCATACTAGTGATATTTTATCAAACTGCAAAGGCAAGAAGAAACATATCAATATATTTTAACATTTGAAATAAGAAGACACAAGAAAAGGAAGAGTGTTGATTTCTATTAGAATCATAGATATAATAGCTTGATGTAACGCTCGGAACATTCAATATGATAATATTAGCTTGTTTACTAGATATGATCTGTAAGTTTCTAAAATGCATTTTCATAATTTCACAATAGAAAGGTACTTGACACTCAAATAAAGGGAAGGTGGTAAAATAACAATAGCTTGATACTACTGTGATAAGATACGCAAGTTTCTAAATGCTTTATCATGATTTCACAATTACAAGGTATTTTAAACTTGGATTGAATCATTGTCAAATGAATCAATACAAACAAGTTCAATGAATTTGCTATTGTGGATTTGAAGCCCTTCCTTTAGATCCTTGCATCCCAATATAACCTTACATATACTCCATCCACATGATAAAGATCTGTAGAATATACTTGCTCATGGCAAATAATTCTGCACTATGTTACATTAGCTTATATGCAAAAACAAAACATGGCTCCCATAAAGAAAAGTTAAATATTTAATTTCTCAGTGTTTTCAAACAACAGGGTAAAACCTTGTCTATTTATATATCTTATACTTTTTGATCCACGGACCCAATGAAAGCAATCTTTGCCATAATAATTTCCTAGCCACAAATGCAACCCAAAGGGTTCTTCTCCCAACCATCGTTTCCATATTCAGAAAAAGATTACCTCCACTAAGTTCTTCAATAATTATGCATATACAACTGACTGGATAAAATGTACCAGGATCAAACATATTCTGATAGGACCAGTAATATGACAAATACACTATGTGCGCTACTGATAACTATAACTTGGAGCATCGACCAACTTCAAATGCTTAAGACATCAACCAACATACATCAATTGCCAGCGAGGGACGTATGAGTAAGAGAAAATCAAATCATCACCCTATACTTGGTACAACTGATAAAGTAAATTCATTAGAAGTTCCCTGACTCATAAATGAAGTATGTTGAAACTTGAAACCAGAACATGATCTGATTAAAATAAACTTAACATGAGCTGATTAAAACAAACTTGCAAAGAGATTTTGAGATACAATCTGAAAGGAGGTATCTCAGGAAAATAATCTTTCTCCACAGACAACATATTAAACTTACCAAGATACATGAAATTTCTTAAGGGAATTTTACAATACTAAATTCCCATCTCATACATAATGGAAAAAACAAATAAAAGAAATGCACAAAAAATTGTCCCCATTATACTTGTCAAGAAACAATTGGAAACCGATAAACAATTGACCACAGTAGATAAAGGTTATGGGAACTAGAAAACGAGGAACTAATGAAGAAAGAATTACCTCAATTGGATCGGATGGTACAGAAACCTCATCATGATATTTTGGAGAATCAATTGATGACTGAATGTGATTGTAAGAAGCTGACGACTGACCGTGCTTCTTCCCTTCATTAGGATTAAAGCCATCAATAAGATGGCTTTCCCGAAAGAGTTGGGAAGTTGTTTCGCGAGCAAATCTCGTTACAAGTGAGAATTTCTCCAATACTTGAATTGAAAGATCACGAGCAGGATCATGATTTTTTTGCCTCTGCCTACTATTTTGATTAAAACTAGCAGAGCTTTTATCTGACTCAAGCCTCTCTATATCAGCACTGGAGGGGGAGTGATCAGCTGTAGAAGAAGAAACATTTGCAACAGGAACAGCCCTAGGAAGCTCCAAGGAAGATAGAGTTCTCTGTAGATAGCATACTTTAGCAGTTATTATGGTAGATCAGCATGTTCATAGGCAAATACGTAAAGAGCTGGACAAGAACGGACCATCATCGCATTAAGCAATTAATATACTTATAAGCCACTAAATCACATACCTGGAGAGGACTTTGAAAGTCATTCACAAGAAATACATTGGCGTCTTCTGCTGACCTGGAAATATTAAATCAGGTAACAGTATAAAGGAGTATACCAACTGAAATAAAATGATCTTACATTCAGCTCGGAGTTAACCCCCACAAACCAAGGGAAATGTTTTTTTTTTTACTTGATAAAGAGGCTTGTAAAGTTAAAATATTATCTGGGTGGAAATAGCATTAACATTTAGACGAAGCATCATAGAGTTAAATCCATTCAAGACCCCATGCCATAAACAGAAAAAAAAAAAAAAAAAAAAGCTATATTTAATACTGGCTCACACTGTTTATGGGCATCATTCGCTAATTCATACGAGTTTTGAACCAGGAAATAAAAGAAACAAATCCTTTTCACAATATTGTTATTTCTCAAAAAGACTGGCAAAGAAGTAGAGTACAATATCAAAAAACATTCTACGTTGTTCTTTCCCTCTTTAAGCTGTCCTCCATTTCAACTAATCAAACACGATAAAGCATAATATTAAGAACATATCAAATCCGACATTTAGACTTCGGCTTTTTTAAGATGAAGGCTGACTAACAGAAAAATATAAAAGATAATAAGGAATAAGTGCTCATGATGTATGTCACTACTAGATTGAATTTTGAACTACAGAACGACATTGAATACTTCTTCTAAATCTCAAAGTAGTAAAAGGAAAAACAATTCTCACAACCTCTGCAAGATAGTAATGTAACTCGGACGAATTGCAAAATTAATGCTTCAAGATGGAAAAAGAAGAAATTCTTTCACCTTAAAAAAGAAAAGACGGGGAAAAAAAACATGATACAAGCAACAAAGACATGTAGCGGGCAAGTACATACCTCACAAGAGAAACATGCTGCTTGATAGTGACAAGAAATTCTCGGACTCCACCATTGTAGAAATAGAGTGGAGGAAAGGCCAGTCCTGGAAGTGATACAGTGAGTAAGTTAGGAATTGGAAAATTTTATCCACAATTCTCTCAGTCAGAAATGTTCAGTATCCACACAATTCAACAAGTTTTATCTTCAACTGATGCATAAATACATATACATATATATCATAAACAATAAACCTAAAATAAGACAACACAAATACTATGATGTTAGGATTCATCACACTGAAGTACCATACTACAACTGAGGATATCAGACAAACGAGTACCTGATGACATAACTACGATAATGTATTGCCAACCCAATGTTGGAGTGTGCCTGCGTATTGATCGAATATCCGTAAATGGCACAGCCCTAATAGTATAAAGATTTTTATCTGCACGAAAACAGTGGAAACATTAGCAACAAATTCATGCACGTGACAACAAAAGCATCATATAAGAGAAATTATAGTAATTGAGGCCTACCTTTCTCAGACAACCTAGCATTTGAAGTTTGCCCCTTATATGGAATCCATGTCTGCATTAACAAAACCTCAATTCAGAGTCATAATTTAGAAGAAACTAGTTATACTAAAAGCATGTTCAACTTCTTCCAGAGTAAAATTTAAAACCTAATCTCATGCTTTTGAAGCCAAATGGAATCCTTACACCTTCTACTGGATTAAAAAGACGCAATTAATAAAGATTTTATATAAGGAAGCCAAGTCTAAATCTAACTCATAGATGATTTTGCAAAAAAGAAAAACAAAAAACAAAATAATAGATAAATTATATGACTAGAAACAAACACTTTCCATCAGGAGAAGCCTTTAGTTGTGCTCAAACTTAGCCTTTCAGTAAAACATCACATCATAAATAGTAATGAAACTTATTAGATTTTGACTAAATTTATAAGAAAGTTTCAAACTTACAAATTGAAATATTTATGTCTCTAAAACCAAACATTCGATTTATTCCATAATGGTCCCAAAAGGCATAGCCGAAGTGATACATATTTTTTCAATATGGGAAGAGGCCGGTGGTTAGAATTTTTATGGGTGCAAATGTATCGTAACCGGCCATTTATGAGGTCAAGCTCGATTTAAAAAAAACAAACAAAAAAAAAAAAAGAAGAAAAAGAAAAGAGAAACATAAAAATAAAATTCTCATAGGTTGTAGTAACAATCAGTACCATGAAAAGAGCATTCCCTTGCTTAATCAACTTCAACCGACCACTGATTCTCTCAGAAGCGTACTGCGTCGGATGAATGGTCACATTATCCTTCGTATACACAATCTCCGCACCATCCGGCTCATTAGATGTGCTCTGTCTGCGGCTTTCATTCTGACTGATGCTTGCGGAGCCCTAATAATAACATACATTTTGAGCTGAATATAAGGGAATCAAAAAATTCTTGGATCCACAGGCAAATTCAATAAATTCTCAATTAACTAAATAATAATTCAATTGAGCTCTTGAATAAATCGTCAAATCACAGAATACCGAAGCAGGAAGGAATGAATTTAGCAGAAATCAAGTGAATAGCTATTGCATAAATCGTCGAATCACAACATAATGAACAAATAAGGAATGAATTAAGAAAAAAAATCAAGTGAATTTACAGTGCGAGTGAAATAGATCACCTGTTGAATCGACGCCGCATAATCGGCGTCATCCGATAGATCATGAAGTTCCGGTTCGTGCATCGCTACGACTGTGGTTAGAGAGAGAGAGAGAGAGGGATTGTTTCCTTGCAGAGTAAGGAGAAGGAAGATGATTTATTTTTATTTGTTTTCTTTTTAGCCAATTAATAAATGAATGGGACAAATGAAAGAGTGAAATAAGAGAACGGTTAATGACACCTATATTCCCTTAGCATAATTACATTTCTTCTTCATGTTTATAAACAACTCCAACGCTAAACATTACAATTGAATTATTAACTACTCATTTATAATTAAGATAATATTTTAATATCTATTAATAGTTTATCTATTTCAATCATGGTCAATTAAAATAATAATCAATTGGAAGTTTTTTAGTGGTCTTATTTATAATTCTCACGTGTCATTTTGTAATTGGATATTTAGGTGGTTGTTTTTTGATAACTCAATTTTGAGGATGTATTTTTACATACAAAGAGATAGAATATCAAAAACACTTGGCCATTTTAATACTCCCATTACAGTAGAAAATTTTAATTTTGGAATATAAAAATGTTTGGATTTGATAATCCATTTGATACTCCTCACATTAAAGTAGCTCTAAGTACCATTGCTACCCACTCTATATCTTATACTATCATTTCTAAAATCAAAACACATTAATATAATTTATAAAAAAAAAAAAAAAAACACACACACATTAATATAGGAAACAAACAAACTAAAACACATCGAGAGTACAAATCAAGAATAAAGTAACAAATTTGTATCTTAATTTCAATACGAAGTCTACATAAATATAAGCTGACAATGTTCTAACATTGTCCACGTCGAAATGCCACAACCAACGCCAAGACTGCAATCGAAACAATACACCACTCTTGCACATTAATCTGAATGTTGGTAGAATAGAACACATAACTATAGTCAGATCTACCACTAGAGGATGAATAACTTATTATTCTTCATCATTTTGAATATATAAGTTCAAAACATTACTTATATTATATATATATATATATATATATATATATATATATATATATATATATATATATATATATATATATAGCGGTGGATATATGCAAGTCCGATTTTTTCTTTGTTCAAATACACATAAAGGGGTTCATTAGTTTAAGCACACAAATGTATCTAATTTCTAATATCAAGACCAAAGATGACGAATATGCCCTCATCCATAAATACTACCAAAATACTAACACAAACCTTATATCCATATTTTTAATTTTTTCAAGACCAACCAAGAAAAAAAATAAAACACAAAAAAAAATGTCTGACCCATCGCCGCCGCAGTGACGCCAACCAAGGAGATCGCCACCGCACCGGTGCCGACATACAACCCACCCACTTGCACACCATCACCACTCTACCATCACCAACCCACAACTTTTTACATTAAACTTTTTGTTGGTAAATTCGAAAACATTAATCGAGCATTGGTTCCTTGATAAATATGTGTGGTGAACATTAATCTATACTTATTTCTTGTTGGGTTGCAATGGTTTGGTCGATTTATGATTAAATTTTGAGATTGAAATCGGAGATGGGAAATCGGCGTGTACGCGCCGATTTTTTTCAAAAATCGGCACACTCATACAGATTTTTTTTGGAAAAATCGGCACTGTAATACCGATTATTGTTTGTAAAATCGGCACGTGTATACCGATTGTTTTTGAAAAAATCGGACTGTGAATACCGATTTTTGGTATCGGTGATTTTTTTTTCCAAAAAAAAAAAACGACACACAAGCTAAAATAAACGGTTAACACATCTTATTACGTTTTCCACCCTCATAAACCACAATCTCCTTGTTTTACGACTCTATTTGTAAATGTTTGGTGATTATTTTGATTGTTTTGGTGTTTAGGGTTCCTGGTGGGTTCGTGAAGGAGGAGAAGAAGAAGAATGAAAATTTTAAATTGTAAGATAATGGGTGTGGTTGTAGGTTTATTTTAGTTTATTTGGACTTGCACAAAGGAAATGGTTTTTTTTTTGTGTGTGTTAATTTGGTCTTGAATTTCATTGACGGTAAATTAGTATTTTTACGTTGGTGCTTTTGTACAAAGAAATTGTAAGTTTGCCTATATC